CGATACGCGAGGACGTCTACCGTGTGTGTTATTGGAAAACCGAAAGGAAAAATTAAGCGTTCGTTTCCAAAAACGGGCCGACTGCAGAGAAACTCAAAAGTATGTGCGTGCAACATTATTCTCGCACGAAAAATCTGTACGCGGCGATTTTCTTTTATCCTCTTACAGTCTTACGACTTGTCAATCACACACAAAACTGTCGCAAAAGAAGTCGGTTTACCTGAATAACTTTCTGCGCAACTTGAAAATAATTATCAATCTTTTGAACTTTTTGCAAAATACCTCGGGCCATAAGATTCGGACATTTTCTATACATTTTTTTTTTTTTTCATTACCAAAGTTCTTATACTTTATTTAATTAAATACATTTCACCGGTCGACGAGCTTTTACGTTAACTACACCGAGAAAAAGTTTCATCGAATGATATCACTAGGTATTATTTCATCCCTTCAATCAATATTTCAATTAGCGAAACAAGTCATGTCGACTTGAGACATAACTGTTGAAAACGTTGGCACAAAAACTATATTCGTAAAGTTTTGGTTTAAACGATATCTGATTTAACTTTAAGCGCAGTTATAAAACTGTTGAGTTCCAATAAAAAATAACAATGAAAATAGAATCAGACATCATTATAAACTTTACTATGGTATTATGAATGTATTTTTCATTTTATAGTACCTATTTGTATTTTAAATAAACGTAGTTTTACAACACTCAATGTACCAACACAAATTTCATTAGAAGCTTTTAAAACAATTCTGTTTAGATCCGCAGCTACTCATGACGGGAAATAAATAACAACGTTAAACGTACAAAATGTTATTTGAAACTAAATGAGTAATGTAATACAACGAAAAATTATTTTTTAATTAAATGTAAAAATTACATAAACGGGGCGTGCTATTTGATTTTCTGATATTCTATATCAATTTCATTAAAAATCATTTATTTTTCTATCCGAGCAGTTTTTAGCTAATCAAAATTGTAACAATTTTTACCTTAAAACCAAACATTATGACACATTAGTGTTTTCGTTTATTTTTTAAGTGCACGAATACATTGTGTAAGTCGGAGTAATGCAAATAAACTAGACAATGAAAATAAATTTCAGGTCTTGAAAATATTGATCGAGCTCTAAATATAATGAGACATGACCTTGTACCCCGTAAGGTTTTACTCAAGAAATAAATTTACTCCAAAGAATCCCTACGCATACTGCACAGATTCTCGTTCGTATAACGCTAATGGATTTATTGATTGTTATGACATATCTTCACCATAACATTTTCCGAGAGGGTGTCTTAACTGTTTTACTATACTGTTTCTATATATGCGCGGCAATCAATTCAATTGATGGTCGGGTATTCATCTATAATAAATTGCTAGATCGTTAAAATATAAATACTCCTAAAAAATGATTATATTACCGTCGGGTCGTGCTCTAGTTGTATGTGTTCACATATATTTTCCAACTTTATACAACATATATAATCGAGATCACAGTAGATAAAAGTTCTATAACATGTGTGCGCACTATCGAGTTTATAAGTGTAGCTAAACACACAAACATTATAAACTAGTGTGCGTAATAAAAAGCGAAAACACATAAAAAAAAGATGTACACAACGTACTTTGTTTTAAAAATACATAGACTATAAGGCTGGTAAAACAAACTCACTTGTGCTTTTATGTCATTATATCAACTTTTTGACGTCAAATGAATGAACGACTATTACGTCGTTACTTGAAGCTTTTTATCGTATTTATACCCTAACTGTAGACAAAAACACTTTTTGACTGCTAATGGATAAAAAAAAAAAAACGCTCATAATGATACGCCGTGTAATAATTTAAACTATACTCGAAAAAATGAAAACGCTCAAATTGTGAACTACGCAAGAATAATTAGATGTCATATTAGTTGTCTTGTACCCGTTTTACATCATCATCTCTAACACGAAAATAATTTATTAATATTTTCACATCAAAGGTATTTTTATTTTAATAAGAATACACAATTTGTTTACAATACAAACATTAGACTTTTGTGTTTATCACACACTGCTGTAATTGAATTTCATAGTCCGCGATTTTTTTTTCTGATTAATTTTATGAATGCTTTGTNCATTGCAGTAATTGAATTTCATAGTCTACGATTTTTTTTTTTTTTGATTAATTATACGAATGCTTTGTTTATTATCTTACCGTTGTTAATTGAAATTTATTAAGTCAAAATTATCATCTCTCAGCACAAAATATAATTTTGAGAAATACAGTAGAAACGGTTAACAGATAGTTTGCTTTTTACAAAGCGTAAACGCATCTGTTTAGCGTTAGTAAACACTCCGGTGGCGATGGATCGATGTTCGGTAACCATTACAAATTAGCATCTCTTTTCGATTGAAGTCAGACAAGGCGGCCGTTCGCAAGTTAATTTAACATTATACGGTTGACCGACAGTGTCAATACTGTCGTGTATTGAATCGCGCTGAAACTGTACGGTGAAAACTTTGTGTGAAACAATATGTCAAGTCTTGTAAGCGGGGCCGGTTCAAAGACGAGGGTCCGATAAAAAAAACTTATATCTCCGACATGACAAACGAATGGATTTTTTTTTTTTTTTTCATTTCATTCGTCCCGTCTTTTTCTTGTTTTTATTTTTTTGCCGTTCGGTACTCGAGTCGATCCGTCGAGAATATGCGTAGTAATGGAGTGCAGACAAAGTAGGAAACTCCGAATTGATGACAAATGCCCGGGAGACATCACCGATATGTCCCTCGTAACAAGGGGATTAATTGGGATTAATTAAAGACCGTTGCCCTTGTCACAGAGATAGCATTTCCAGGCTCGAGATCCGAAAACAAACCTACTTAGCGCGAGAGGAGATCCCGAAAGGAAATTAATAAAATTAGAAAAGTCAACAACGAAAAAACTGAATTTCCAGTCATTCAGTGTATTATTTTTGCATGTTTATGAAATATATAACAATTTCGTATAGTTGCAGTGGAAATATCGGTCTATAAAACACCTCTTGGCTATTAAAACAATAAAATATGTTTTATTATTATGTTTCGCATGCTTTTCTCATTCTTACATAACTTTTTATTACCTCTATTTTGAATGAACATCAAGTTTCGTAGCAAATAACAATTATGTATTCATAACAATAAACTATTTCCATAAGTGCCTACTCATAATAGGATAAAGGTTTAATGCTGCATATTTAATTATTTTAACTGTAACTATTTAACACGCACTAAGAGTCTAAAATTATTTTTATTACACTACCTCGTACATTTTAAGCAATAAAATACTTGAATAGAAATTTAATTAATTAAAAATGAATAGTATTTTCGACAAGTAAACAAAACAGTAAGAGTTATTAAATTTTACATTATTAAACGTTTAAGAGGTCTGCGCTACTTCCTGATCTGCATTCAACTATATATATATAAAAGTTTATAAGTTTTAAATTGGTATAACTTAAACGGAACTTTCGTTCCCTTTTGTAATGGCTTATTCAAATATTTGTTGTATTCATGTTATTTTAAAACCAATACCTATTTTTTTTATTTTCAGATTTTTGCAGTTGAATAGTTTTTCATTCTTATTTGAATTGCTAAACTTCATAATATTATATGATTTTATAAAAATTAAATATTTCACTATTTCATTCTTAAATTGCATTTGTTTGTTTTTGATTATATTTAAATATGTCAAATGAGTGAATACACTAACATTGTAGCTTCTTCATATGTATACCAACGATATCAGTAATGATTATTTTATATTCACTTTACGTGTCAAAACTTTGGCGTAGACAGCAACCGAGATCATGAATTACTTATTTATAATTGATAACTCAGTTTCATTTAGAGCAGTGTCTGTTACTGTAAAAGAGGGGAATGGATGCAATTGGGGCCTTTACTGACGGCAGTATGCAAATAACCCAAAATAATGTTCAAAGTGAAATATGATTTGGATACAGCAGCAAATAACTGTCAGCAGTATCTGTTGTCGGTATTTGACTTCATTTTTTACAAATTTTATTTTTTATTTTAATACCACGAGTCGCATAAGAAAAAAACAAAAAAACATCAGAACGAACATTATTATTTTTATATTGTATGATAAATAACGACAAAATATACAAATTAATAAATAAAAAAACTATACAAAAATCTGACCAAGTCCATAAGTATTGTTATTTATAATATTGGTTACATTAATAATAAAATGTGACAATATGATGTTCCGATAATCACAAATAAATAAATAATTAAATACACAAAAATCGATACAATTAAAAATAATAATATTAAAAGTATTATCACAGCTTAGAATATAATATAATAACCATTATTACTATTGTTTTTTACACGTTTTATCGTTATTATATTATATCAAATGAAGTATTTATAACATGACTAGATTTCATGGTTTTTAGTGTAAAGTTTAAATAATAAAAAATATACAGGAAAATACGAGTGTAGTAATAAATAATGATGACAATGAGTATATATAATTGAATATATTATTAAGGTGATTGGTGAGTAAATTTTTAATATAGAAAAATATGGTGGTATGTCAAATAGTATTACGTTAACTCGTCAATACAATTTTAATTATAAACATTGTAATTATAAATCGGTATATTATTAATATAATAATAATCCGAGTGAAAGTATAGCGGTCAAAGGGTGAGGAAAATATAATAACAAAATAAATTAATGATTCTGTTATGAGTGGTGGTGGGTGTTTGATACCGCACGTGTCCGTCTATCAAATAATATTATTAACGACTAAGTAGATATATAATAATTACATAATTATAATTATTACCGTATAAAATTTAGTATTTTGGTCTGCAGCTGTTCAATTGGGGGAGTGAATCCGCCGAGGGTTATTTTACGATATCACATGGTTAAATTTATTAATAATTAATACTAATACAATTCAGTTTTTAACGTATAAATATTTTTATAGGAANAGTTTTTAACGTATAAATATTTTTATAGGAAGCGCCGCATCGTGTCAGCAAGATTAACGCTATAAGTCGACAGAGTATTGTTCATAATGAATGTCTCGAGCTGAACAATGCGGCCTGGTCATCATTGTCTCTTTTGATCAAAACTCCTTGGCTTTCAAAGCCGTTGCCCAAGTGTAATTTGCTAGCGCGTTAGAAAATTACTAATGCCTGCGATTTAGTATTCGGGGTGACAAAAATCATCGAAGAATAGTAGACGTTAGTGTTTCGGCACAGAGCTCTATTGTGCCGACACGACGCCAACGCAGACAAACTCTGCTTGGAAAACACTGACGAAGAGAGTGGATGAGCGTGTGAGTGATTAATGAACGTGGTTTATTACATTATATATTATATTTATTATGAAAGAGTGGTTTTGACGGTTCGCCGGACTTTTAGCTGGATGGTGTTATTATCAAATACCTGCGAGGCGGCCAGCGGAAAGTTATGATTAAAGTTCGAGTATTTTTCGTGTGATACAGTCTTGGAGATTAATGTGTAAAATTCACAATTGAACAAAAAAAAAATGAAAATCGGTCAAAAAGTAAAGTGGTTAAGTAGTAAGCACATTGCAACATTAGGAAACGTGTGTCGATGGTTTAGAACGATCTCGTTGAAGATCGAATTGTTGGTTTTGAGCGTTCCGCCGTCCTGGTCACAACACTAAAACAAACAAAACAATAAATATTTATTAGTATAAAACAAATAAAACCATGTTTCGATTAAGTAAACAATATTTCACAGAAGGATCAGAATGTAATAATTCTATTTTGTCGAGCTTTGCATTAATGTTATTCGTACATACACTCTATTGTAGTTTTATGTAAATTATATCACAGTAATTTCGTTTTATGTCATCCGATAATATATAGATTTTTATTGATCATTAAAAACGTTAGGCCTAATAGTTATTATTTATTAAAGCAAAACTGTATACTGCAACAACGGTCTTAATAACTACATCCAATGCCACGATATTGCACATAAGAACACTGAAGACGATATCTCATAAGAATATAATGCGAGTCGGTATACTAATAATAATTATAATACGATGCATGTGTAATATTAGAGTTCTGTTATATCCTTTGATGTCGTAACATTCGTGCGAAGCACCCTCGTTAGCGCGATAATGAGTCCGAGTGCTGTGTATTATATTGAGTTTTTTTATTTAACGATGACGTACTGCAGAGAGCTTTTCGTTTAAATCAAATCAAGTTTGTTCGTTTCAAAAACGTGCTAAGAATACATTAGCGGAATAAAAATGAAAGAATCGAATTACGGCGGGGCGCTAACGAAATTTTCCAAGGACTAAAAAATTACACTAGCTTTTATGGTAATTTTGAAAGGTCCATCATCAAATGCAAACTGCTTTTTGTCCTGACCGCGCATGGTGGCCGGGCACTCGACAGGCCACGAGAGTAAATGGGGCACAGATGTCTCATTGTCCGACAAGTGTTCAGTTATGCAAATACGATTTACCGAGTTAAGCACCCCGATAAGTGGGTCTACAGAATTGTTAATAAGATAAGATTTCGAACGAAAAACCGTGACGGCGGACCCTTCAAAATGTTGACAATAATTACGAACTGTGTAGAAATCGGCGAGAAATGTTGCGCGACCAAAGATCGAGAGAGAGATAACGCCGGCCGTTTTAAGTATTTTGAGAGTTGGCACGCAACGAGCGTTTTACTTGTCGATATGGAACGCCGGTAGAATAGAGTGCACACTATTAAAAAACAGATAGAGCTTCGGAATGGTGTCAGACCAATGAAATTGCTTGAGCGTTGGAAAAAACTGTTTAATTAATTTTAATAAATACCCCTATATGAACGCAACCCAGCACTTGAAGTATTCCGAGACAGGTATTTCATTAAAAACTTATACCGGGTATTTCGGCAATAATAATAATTAATTTGGCTTGTCTTTGAGTTGTCCGTACGGTGTTGATGGGATAGGGTAGTGTCGGTGAGAATTTATAAAGGATATTGTTCAGTCGTCGGTATAATGTTCTCGAATTTCGTCGTAAAGCGAGGAAAAGTCATTTTCCAAAGGAAATGCAAGAAAATCAGCGGGATGGCAGTCTATTATTTGGGATAGGGTCACCACCTGCTATTTTCCTTTTGTCTTTACAAACGGTGAAATATTCCTCTAGCTATACACCGGTCGGTTAAAGTGAATTAGCCGACTCGCACGCCGACGACGATCACAGCAAACGTCACGGCAATGTTATTATTTGTCTATGAATCCTCTAGTCGATCAGTGTACGGTGCGGGTACTGCTCGTTGAACACAACTGTTAGTAACGTTTAAATTGAAAGCCAATGGAAACCTTTATAAATAATGTTTGTCGCCGTGGAATACATGTTAAGCTTTGGCACATTTTAAGTGAGCGCAGTATTAATATCAGGCGCATTGCCTTCGAACGAAAACTTCCGACAAATCGTAATAATTCATTTGCGCACACGACAAAGTAGCTTTACAACATCATCAGTGCAGAAATTAATAACTGGCAACGGCTACGGAACCAAGTCTGGGCAGTAAACCTAATTCGAATACGGCGGTAAAAACGGACTTTGAAGTGTCCGTGATCGATTTAATAGTGTTACATTGGTTGTCGACCGAGGTAAACATCAACCATGTTTGCTGTACGTGCTGTGCACGGCGCACCTCGCGGTCATCGTCGCTGCGGGTCTGATATAATCGTCTTGGTTCGGTCAACGCAAAACAACGGGAAACAATCTGCGTTATCTGACACGTGAGATCTGGAACGTGTGCGCGCGCAAAAGGCTGCCGCTGCGAATGTTCCTCTGTTATTATTATTAACGGACGTTTATCCTGGAGCCGTTCGAGATGTTTTATCGACGAAAATTAAAAAAAAAGCTTCTAATTATAATTTAAACAGCGTTTTATCGGTGCGCCGAGTCGCCGATCGGAAGGTACGAAAAAAATATTGTTATCGCGTTCCGACACACGCCGTTCGCCGGGCCATTGGAACTATTGCACTTGGGTCCGTACGAAAATCAAAGTGCATTCTTTGACCCATCTTCTGTTGTGCGCAGTTATTGACGGTAATTACAGACGGTAATAAGAATGAATAACGACAATGGCATAATGTAATAACAATACCTTGGAGTATATGCCGTAGGTGCGTACTGAACGCGTGTAACAATGTACGAGTTTCCAGTAGATTTAATGTCCCCGAGTAGAGCGCACAAAGACCGAAATTCGGATCAATATTACACGCGGCGTGTGTATTCTACATAATACGTTCTTTTTACTGTGCCTCGTCCCTTACTTTTACAATAAGTTTTAATAATGCTCACCCCAAGGAATTATTTCTATTATATTATTATTATTGTTATTGTTACAGTTTCCCACCGGATACGGCAACGCGAAATTCCCGTTGAAACATACTCTCCGAAAAACACCGTCCACTAATTATTCTGGTGCCGCCCAACAATATCACGTTATCATAACGGACATAGTGCTTGATAAAAAATTGCTGTGCGATGCGTAATAAATCAATAAGTAAACAAAAAACATCACAATCGTCAGGCGAACATTTGTCTAAACCGATAACATTACGAATCCGGGAGAAAAAGATATATTGTAATGAGCAAAATAATATTATAGACGGCAACCGGATCTATAAAACGACGACATCATTATCTTCGTCGGTTTGACCCAATAAAAATATGATTAAACCGGAAAAATAACTAATGGACATGGTTGACCGGATAAAGAAAAAACCAAAGACATGTCTTGTAACTAAAAGACGAGATTTTATTACACTTTTAATGAGCTACCGCGGGCCAACCGCATACTATGTCATTATGAATGATACAACACTATTATCAATGATCTACGATGGGATAATTATTCAGGCTACACCGCGGTGTTTTTTATTTTTTTACTCAGTCTTAAAAATTAACATTTTTTTTTTTTATTATTGACAAACTTTTAAGAACTTTTTATAAGACCAAAACTTTTAAAAAACTATTCCATAAAAATATTGATTGCACACACGTTATTTTTCGGTTGGCCAAACACAATTTTTTCGCTGTTTATACTCGCGGGAACCTAAGATCTGTGAAAAGTGCATGGTCGGTCCATTTCGAATGCAGGATTTAAAACGGTTAGGATTTTGAAGACCTGAGCGCCTTTAGCGTTTGAACGGACGGTCGATGTACATAACAAGAGGGACGAAAGAGCCTGGGGCGTATGGGTTTCCTTTAAATTTGGGTTTAAATCCTTTGCAGACAAAATTATAATAATAATAGCACGGTGTTCATTTACTGTTGATTCAATTAAACGACCCTATGGTTAAACAGTTTTTGCATACTACGACTCCCCTACCCGGCGAAACGTTAAAACGTATAAAAGCAACTCGTATTTAATTTAAAAATTGGCCCGTCGGTGATAATATATTAATATATCACATTCAAGCGGCACAAGTTGGACTGTTGGCGGGGTTTCTGTTGTTCGCTATTCGATTGTACCCGTGTAATAAATTAATTTTATTCATCTGCGCAAATAAACCTTTATTTTATTATTATCAACGAAAGTTCATTTTTTTACTAATATAAATCAGTCGAATTCGCCGTAATAAATTGTCCAATGTATTATTATAATAATATACTTTAGAAAAAAATACTAATATATTAGAATTGTATTTTATTTTTGTAATCCGGTTCATTTTAGCGAATATATACAACAGCATCAGGTGAACAGTGTACCGATAATATTATTGCTGCTGTGCGCAAAATTATTAACGTAATACTCCAGCGCTTATTTAATTAACTCTGAACGTAAAAACTANTAGAACAGTTGTTGAATAATTTTTAAATATACGGCTTTTATAACGTCAGTCTCATTACTTAATTGTCACACCTCGTATATTAGAATTTTATTTTATTTTTGTAATCCGGTTCATTTTAGCGAATATACACAGCAGCATCAGGTGAACAGTGTACCGATAATATTATTGCTGCTGTGCGCAAAATTATTAACGTTATACTCCAGCGCTTATTTAATTAACTCTGAACGTAAAAACTATTGATACTGCAAAAACAGAGCGGTTCGTTACGACTTAACAACAATATACATATATATTATTGCGATTTCGTAATTAGCGAATTGTACGCGCAAGTTAACTATGCAATTAAATTAAGAACGCAGGGCGAGGGCGTGTAGCCGCCGTTGTCTTGCACGGGGGCTGACTATGAACTGTACCGTTATGGTGACATACGTATGCCGCCCAATTGTTCTGAGAAAACGTTATGTCACCGGCGTATGTTCGAGGACTCCGACGTCAGAGGGTTAATTATCCCACGCGGACCGAAGTGTCGAGATTCAATTGCTCCCCGTGTTTATTATTGCGACTGTTTGGTATACGCAAAGAAATCCGGCAGGACAGCTGATACGTTGACGAGCAGATGTTGGGTTCGTGTACGGTTACCGATAGTTGATTTTTTAAAAGTGAAAAACTACTCGGCGACGTACAAAACGAAATGGTAACGTCGTTTAGACAAAA